AGTAAGAAAAATATTCAGACAAGGCGACCACTACCACTACCAAGTGGATGTCATATCAGGAAAATAGACCGTACAAACACTGACTAATTAAAATTTCAGTGAAAGCTCTGGAAATTTAAGTTCTACCCCCTTCCCATATGGGAGGTGACCTTGCAAAATATTTGATAAATTTGTTCATGGGGGAAAGAAAACCAGAGCTGATAGCATAACTTAAGCTATGAAGCAGTTTTTCTCACTGCTATTAGGGCAGCAAAATGGTCACTTACATCTGCTTTTTCCAACTGTCCGCACCATCAAGTTTCTTGGAAGTTGGTTTTTTGGGTCGATTCCATCTGGTAGTCTGAACAATAGCTAAAATACTAACGGTTTAACTAGAGTGCCAGTATAAGGCCAACAGGGCAATGATCACTACCTGTAACATCAGGAAGAATGTATGAATCGTAAACCTTGTCAGCAATGGATTCTGAGACGAGGAAGTAGTCTAGCCGCCAACCTGTTTTGAAAACAATGACTAAATCATACCATTCAACTAAATTGGGACAGATACCTTTCAAATGAATAAGAATAGGAACTGGAAGTTGAAGAAAACATCGGATGTGAAATGTTGTATACCTTTATTTGTTTTGTGGCCACCATGTCGATAACCCCAGTAAGTATAGCCAACAACATCAGGATGTTGCTTTCTAAAGGTATCCACAAATCCCCGGGATATGAAGTTTGTTCCAAAAGACTGCCTTTCTTCATTTGTAAACCCAGCACTCCTCTTATTCCCCTATAAATTGAAGCAACCAATATGAAAATAAATTACAAATATAATGTGTTACTACTTCAATTTGCAAGGAGCATCTGCAAACAGTGCAAGCACAGCTGTGACAACACTATATGTTTCCACAATTGCCCAATGCATCCAGGCACGAAAGATTAAAGAAAAAAACAATCCATGTATTTAATGGCATGACTCATAACATCATAAACAAAAAACCTGTCAATCTTGGTGAAGCAGTTTGTTTTAGAGTGATAAAATATGGGAAGAAATTGGAATTTTTGCTAACATAATAAAGCTTTTCAGAATACTTAATATTTAGATTGGAAATACTTGCCAGTGTCAGTTTAGCACTAGACAAATATAATCATCAGTATATTGTTTGTTTTTTTCCAAAAAAATGAAAAAACTTTTGAAACACTCACCGTAGGGTCATGAATGTCTATCTCTTCATGTGCACAATTGAGATCACCTGTCAAAATGACAGGCTTTGACTTTTCCAGCTCCTGCATTGTGCATAAGAAAAAAGTTAAGCATTGGGATCTGGCAATCAAAGGGCACAATGAAAATGTTTTATTTTGAGACAAAAACATCTAGTCACCTAGTTCATATGTTTAAAAACCCTTTAAGGGAGATCAGATTCAGAGCACATATATATTCATGACCTAAGAAAGTGTAATTGGTTAAAAGCTGGAGAACATTGATAAGTTTTTCCTATTCCAATGAGTAAACTTTTAAAACTGGCCAAAGAAAAAACTAAACTTTAAAAAAAATTATGCACAGAATTTGCAAATAATGAATAATCTGTTCTTGTTAATCAAACCAAAAACTATCTTTGTGAAATAACT